CGAATACCAACATCACATGATTAATTATGACAAGACTTCTCTCTTGTCCTCAAGAACAAACGTAAATACTCACAAATCATACTTATGTTCAAGATCAAAGGTATAATGAATATTCTTGAGGATCTGAACACTTAATCTTCCACCAAGTAAACCAACTAGCATCAACTACAAGATGTAATCAACACTACTAGCAACCCACAAGTACCAATCTGAGGTTTGGGGACAAAGATTGAATACAAGAGATGAAGTAGGGTTTGAGATGAGATGGTGTTGGTGAAGTTGTTGATGAAGATTGGTCCTCCCATGATGAGATGATCGTTGGTGATGTCGATGGCTTCAATTTCCCCCTCCCGGAGGGAAGTTTCCCCGGCGGAATCGCTCCGCTAGAGACCAAAAGTGCTCCTGCCCAGGTTCTGCCTTGAGATGGCGGCGCTTTGTCCCGAAAGTATTCTTTTTTTTCTAGGGCAAATGGCCACGTACAATAGAAGATGGGCACCCGAGGCCCGACAAGGGGGCCACAGGCTCATAAGGCGCGCCCCTTGAGCTTGTCGCTCCCTGGTGGCCCCCTCCTGGTATTTTTTCCGCCAATATTTTTTATATATTCCAAAATAATTCTCCCTAAATTTTTAGGTCATTTGGAGTTGTGCGGAATAGCTATCTCTACTGTAGCCTTTTCCGGTCCAGAATTCCAGCTGCCAGCAATCTCCCTCTTCATGTGGAACTTGCAAAATAAGAGAGAAAAGGCATAAGAATTGCATCATAAAGTGAAATAAAAATCCAAAACATAATAAATAACAGTAGGAAAACATGATGCAAAATGGACGTATCAACCCCCCCCCCCCAAAAAACTTAGACCTAGCTTGTCCTCAAGCGAAAGCCGAAATCGATAGTCATCACGAAATAGCTAAGCATCAAACTAGGATAGGTAAAGATAATAAAAGTGATGGTGATACGATACCGGGGCACCTCCCCCAAAGTTGGAACAAGCCAAGGGTGGTGTCCATACTCATGTACTCAAGTGTCTTTCTTCGGTGATGGTGGTGATGAGGTGGTAGGCTTTTCCTTCAGCTTCAATAAGTACCCCAAATTGTTGTAAATCCTTCGAAGAGCATGGTTTTGTTCCTCCAGTACGATGACCTCATGAGTAAGCGATGTATTCTGGGCACAAATTGCTTCAAAGATCTTTATTGTATCAATTTAAAATGGAGAGAGATTATGATAAAGGGTTTGCAGGACGTCTCCCTATTTTGTAGCCTCTTCTGTGGGCATGGGTTGGTTTCCTTCTTCATGGGTCCGTCTTCCCATGACCTCCTTAGCTTGCTCCCGCTCGATGGTGTCATCCACTCTGGACGACTACTCGTAATATGCTTTGCTGAAAGGACGTTTGCCCGGTGAAGGTTGCATGATCCGGTGCTTGGTACGGAGCCTTCGAGGAGCCATGGCGATCTAGATCTGTTAGAAAAATAGGCCGAAACAAGAACATAGGAGAAACTTGCGATGAAGTGTCCAAAAGAGCGAGGAGTATATATAATGATTTTTTGTGCAGGACAAGTAATCTGGGAGAAAACATAGTCGGGAAAGTCCACGAGGGAGCCACAGGCTCGGGAGGCGTCGATACGTCTCCAACGTATCTATATTTTTTGATTGTTCTATAATATTATAGTATCAATCTTGGATTTTTATATGCAAATATATATCATTTTTTGGGGACTAACCTATTAACCTAGTGTCCAGTGCTAGTTGCTGTTTTTTGCTTGTTTCTGGCTTTTCAAGAAATCAATATTTACCCAGCAATTCAGTCCGTCGAGGGGCCTGCGACAGGGGGATCCGGCGTCCCCATACTTATTTGCTATTTGCGCAGAAGGTTTGTCAACTCTCCTTCACGAGGGCGAACGGAGTGGGCAGATTAGTGGCATCAAGGTCTGCAGCAGGGCACCGGTAGTGTCACATCTTTTCTTTGCGGACGATTCGATGTTACTTATGAAGGCAAATCAGGAGGAAGCTGTGGCTATGAGGAACATTCTGGAGTTGTATGAAAATTGCTCGGGGCAATGTATTAACACTGAAAAATCTGCAGTGATGTTCAGCCCTAACACTAAAGCATGTGACAGAGACCGGGTGAAAGGAGCTTTGCAGATCGTGAGCGAGAACTGGAATGAGAAATATCTTGGGCTGCCGGTACATGTGGGGAAATCCAAGAGGAAAGCCTTTGCGTATATTAAGGGAGCTATGGCCGGACGTATGTACGGGTGGCTAGAGAAGTTGATAGCGAAGACCGGGAAAGAAACTCTCGTGAAAGCTGTTGCTCAGGCTATTCCAACCTTTGCCATGTCTTGTTTCTATCTCACTAAAACGGTTTGCCAAGAGTTGAGCTCGCTAATGGGGTCCTACTGGTGGAGGCAGCAGGATAAGGAGAACACAATCCACTGGATTAGTTGGGATAAACTAACAAAATCCAAAGCTCAAGGCGGTCTAGGGTTCAGAGATATGCACGGCTTCAATATTGCCATGTTGTCAAAGCAAATTTGGAGGATGATTGAGCATCCGGATTCTCTCTGTGCCCAAATTCTGAAAGCACGCTATTTTTCGGACTCCCATGTGCTTCAGGCGGAGCCAAAGGACGGCATCTCCTACTCGTGGCGAAGCCTTCTCCATGGGGTACAGCTTGTGCGGGAGGGATATGTCTGGCGGATTGGTGATGGCACTAATATCAAGCTCTGGACTGAGCCTTGGTTGCCGAGGCCGTGGGCAAGGAAAGTAATCACGCCACGGGGTGGAAACATCCTGGAGTATGCCTGTGATTTGATCAGCCCAATAACAGGCAGCTGGGATGAGCAACTAGTCTGGGACACCTTTTGGCATGTTGATGCGGAGTGTATCTTGCAGATTCCAATCCGGGAGGGGGTGCAGGACTTTATTGCATGGCAGTTTGACCCCAAAGGACAACACTCGGTGAAAAGTGCATACAAATTACACACGCAGCTGGAGAGGATGGCACAAGATGGAGGAGCAGGCAGCAGCACTACGGTGCTGGGCAACTTGGATGCGTGCCAAGATGACTCATGGAAACGCATATGGAAGCTCCCCTGCCCCAGGAACATACAAATGTTTGCATGGCGCGTTAAACATGAGTCGTTGGCGCTGCGAACAAACTTGGCAAGGAGGGGTGTACCAATTGAAGATACTGCGTGTTTGTTCTGTGGACGGGCAGCAGAAGATGGAGCACATCTATTCATAAAATGTAAGGTGGTGAAAGATCTGTGGAGGGCCTGTCATTGGAAGAAGAGAGGAGGAAGATGGAGGACATAACATCAGTACATGAAATGATGAATTTTTTGTGGAGAATCGATGAGCAGAAAAGAATACACATACTCACCGCCTGGTGGTTGTGGTGGAGCAATCGCAATAAACTTAGGGAGGGCGATCTTTCCTGGTCCGCGGAGGAGGTGGCGCGGCGCACTCGCAGCTTATCTCTAGAATACCAGGAGATCTTCTCCAAGAACCTCGGAAAACAGTGTGACACTAGATGGAGACCGCCTCAGGAGGACATGGTTAAAATAAATGTCGATGGCTCGGTAGTGCCTGGGGAACATCATGCAGGTTGGGGTGTGGTGGCGAGGGACTCGGAGGGTACTGTCATTTGTGCTCGTGCAGGTCGTCAGGAACATGTAGGAGATGCTTTTGGTGCAGAGATCTATGCCATGGCTCATGGTGTTGCATTGGCGGCCGATCTTGGTATGACGAGGGTGATATTTGAAACCGACTCCCAGCTTGCTGCGGATGCAATGGACCTGAGAAGGGCAGACTCGTCGGCCTACTCGACAGTCATCGAGGACATCAAACTCCAACTGAAACTTTGGTTTTCTCGTCATGTAATAGCGTCATGTAGGAGAGGGGCCAATTTTGTTGCCCATGAGCTCGCTACTCTGGGTCGTTTGTGTGAGGTAGAACACTCAATGCAGTGGGATGATGCTGTACCTGCCACGATAATGGCTTGTGTCCAGGGCGATTTGCCTGGACACCGTTAATGTTAAAGCTTTGCTTTACTTCAAAAAAAAAGAAATCAATATCAAACGGAGAAAAAACTTTGGATTAATTTTTCCTAGACCAAAAGAGACCTTAGAAGGTTCGGGAGAAGACCTGACGAGCCACGAATGAGCAACAAGCTCGGGAGGCGCGCCCCCAGGGAGGGGGGGGGTGGGGGGAGAGCCCCAGGCTTGTGGGCCCCTCGTGGCACCTCTTGACCTAATTCCGCCTCTATAAATTCTCAAATATTCCCCTAACATCAAAGAGCCATCCGAAATATTTTTTCCGCCGTCGCAAGTTTATGTTCTCACGAGATCCCATCTGGCCGGAGGGGGAATCGATCACGGAGGGGCTCTACATCAACCTTGATGCCCTTGCGATGATGTGTGAGTAGTTCACCATAGCCCTACGGGCCCATAGCTAGCAGCTAGATGATTTCTCTCTCTTTGATCTTTAATACAATGTTCTTCTCGATGTAACATCTTTTCCGTATCCCCACAAAAAAAATACCTTGTGTGTGTAGGGGGAACTCATTCCTGCTTGAGTAATGCAATGGTTTTATCCTAAAAAAAGGAATAATCCATATATATGAAGAAAAATCCTAAGGTCCAAGAGGCACTTCCTGATGAAAAAAAGAAAAAGAAAAAAAAGGAATAAACCCTTTTCGTTTTGCTCATTCTCCCGTGCACCACTTTATAAAGGCCTCCGGAGCCAGTTCCGCGTTGGACTTGACCTCGCGCCGCCTCCGTTTTTCCTCTCCCCACCTCCCTCCCCCTCTAAACCCGCACCAGAAGCAGCGCTCCTAGGGTTTGCTCCTGCCACAAACCCTACCACCAGATTGCCCCGATTCCGGCAGAGGTAATCCATCGGCCCCTCGCGCCCTCTCCCCGGCCGCGGGCTAGTATTTCCTTTCCGCTTCGTGTGGGCGCTCAGATTCCGCTGGTTGTTGCAGGCGGCGGCTGCGAGCTGGTGGCATGGCGGGGTACCCGGAGGACAACCAGCACGCCATGAACGGGTACGAGGATGAGGTCGAAGAAGTGGAGGAGGTCGACGAGGAGGGCCGCCCGGGGCGGAGGGGGCGGCGAGATGGGGGCGATGGTGGCGGCTATGGCGACGCCGGTGGGGATGACGGGAGGGCTGGGGGCGGTGACTCGTCGGGGTAAGTGATTGGAACTATTGTTTTTTGTTTGTCTTGGATTCGACGAGTGTTTGTGTATACTGATGCTTGGAGTCTTTGCAGGAAGATTTTCGTCGGAGGCGTTGCATGGGAGACAACTGAAGGTATAAGACGGCTCTTGTTCTTTCTTTCTACTTCATTCATGTCTAGGGCTGTTACATTCGTTCAAAGGCCAATCTTTAATTGTCCAGCCTTCGTTAGATTCTTCATCTTGATAGAAAATCTGAAGAGAAAATTAGCTAAGACATGCCGTTCATCTCAGTGTTAGAAGTAGCGTTTTTTTAATACACTGCTGCAATTTTTCTAATGGCAGATCCGCGGATGTTAAGATATCCAGAAGTGGTCAATTCTTGTTTTACATTTTGAGGATTTGTGTAGCTATGACAGATTGATCCTATTCATATGCTTTTTGGGGGGGTTGCACGTTTTGGTAATATCGTAGGTAATGCAAATTACTTCAATAATGTGTGTGGTTGGAATGTGTACCTATTAATCTTTTGTCAACCAGCTAACAGGAAAAAGTGATGTCTCGGTAAACGTGTTGTAAAACTTTCATGTGCATACTGGTCCAGTTGTTTGTACTTAGAAACAGTTTTGGTTCTTAACATCTCGCAAAGGATAGCTGTTTATACTTTGTTTTGCACTGTTGCTTTCAGGTTTCATTATAGTTGGGTTATTGCATTTGTTTGTAATCCCATCCTAACAGAAAATTCTTTTATTTGTCTTCCGTTGTGAATTATATTAGCTCGATCACTTTTGCTTGAGGGGTTAGTCCTGGTATTTGGTTTGAGAGAAACATCGCAAACGTAAAGGTAATGGAGTTACCAGCACGCCAGTACCGTAGACGTAAACGAACGAAACTCAAACTTGTTTGGTAGCGGTCTGTAACGTAATCAATTCGTCTTCAGAAAAGAAAAAAACTAACAAATCTCAAAGGAGCAGCCACGGCAGGGCTCTCTCTGGGTCTTGCATGGTCGTGATTGCTGATGCAGAGGGGTGCCACACGGGGACGTCGCTGATGCAGTGGGAAGTCTGGTGGACCACGGACACCAGGGGCTTGTCGGCGACCGCGGCAAGCAGCACGCCCAGCGGCGATGCCCTGTAGACGTTGTCGTCGCCAATGAACTCCTCGGAAGAACAGGAATGGCGGGCACCTCGTGTTGCTGAGCTTGGCGACGGCGATGTCCATGTCGGCCTCCACGAAAACCACGCCCTTACCGGCGCAGTCCACCACCAGCTTCCGGCCGGCCTCCTCGTGCAGCCAGCCGGCCAGCATGTACTAGTGCACCAACGCCTCTGCCGTGGCGCTGGCTGAGCCGTCGACGGCAACATGTCCAGTGATGGCGGACATGACTTAGGCGGCGGCGCGTGGGATGGTAGCATGTGGTGCGGGAGAGGTGAGATCAGATTATTACTGTGTTCGTGGCGCTTCATGCGGAGGCCACAGAGCAAACGGGAGAAGCATCGTGCGATGGTTTCAGATTACACGTCATATTGGGCGTAATGAGATTACAACTAGGCTGGGACCTGATACCGCGTTATCTCATTACAGCCGGGTCGATCCAAACAAGATTCATCGTTATCCCTTACCAGCGTAAACAGATGATGTTACAAATTGGTGAACCAAACACCTTCCTAGTTTTTGCAAACTAATACTTGAACCACTTATGAATCATGTCTTGTCTAATTTTTAGTTTTGTTTAATATAAGACTATGGTATGTTATACAGAAGATCAACAAATCTGTGGTCAGTGCATTTAACCGTATCTATCTGCATCCTGTCTTAGGTTTATATTGTTATTGATAGCTTACATATATTTGGATGAAAGATGCTCGGGCAAGAACAACTCTCTTTCATCTTTGCATCTCCTTTATTTCTTCTTTATTAGTTATGTTAGAAATTTTCACTCTCTCATGTTGCACAGTACTCCTTCCTTTCCGGTTTATAGGGCTTATCTCAAAATTTTAGTTTTTCCATTTTATAAGGCTCAATTTGGTTGTTCCCCATCACATGTTCAGACTTCAAGGTGCATTAAATCATTGCATGCAAGTATTAAGAGAAAACTGACCAATGCATGCACTTTATGCATGCATGCATTGCAATTAATGCATTCGTAAACATAATTTTTTGAGGAAAACAAGAGCATTAATTGGGTACTTTTGCAAACTACAAAAAATATTCCACCACTCATCATCTACCTTGGTTGGTGAGATTTTTGAATTGAGCCTTATAAACCAGAAAGGAGGGAGTAGTCTCCTTTGAATTCAGTTATATGGATTTGGTTCATGCATTAATATACTGATAGTTCTTAAACGAAGGTAGGAATGAGTCAGTTTTTAAGAACAGGTTTTTTCTAGTACTGTTTGTGTGTCTATTGGTGCTCTTGGTTTCTGAGTAGGTTAGCTATTGTTACTGCTTTTATATGAAACGTTTCTACCTTGTTACAAACACTGCTATTTCTTCAATACTCCCTGGTTTCTTTTTATCAATCAAGTTAATTTTCTTTCCCCAATTGACAATTGTGTATGGTTTATTTGTTTGTATGTAGAATCATTCTCCAAGCATTTTGGGAAGTATGGGGCTATAACTGATTCTGTAATTATGAAGGACAAGCATACTAAGATGCCTCGTGGATTTGGATTTGTTACATTTTCTGATCCATCTGTAATAGACAAGGTTTTGGAGGATGAACACAATATAGATGGAAGAACGGTAGGATATCTTAATCTAGATTGGCCGTTATGTGGGACCTCAGTGTAAATTTTATTCTTAGTTAATAGTTGCACAGTTGATTTGGAGCGTTCAGCTTCTCTGTATCTCTCTCAACTTATGAACTATTCAGGTTGAAGTCAAAAGGACAGTCCCGAGGGAAGAAATGTCCTCAAAAGATGGCCCCAAGACAAGAAAGATCTTTGTTGGTGGGCTACCTTCGACACTAACCGAAGGTATTCGTTGCAAATCACCAATCTTGAACCTATTTCGGTTATGGTAAAACTTACAAGCTTTGTAATTTCAGATGATTTGAGGGATCACTTCTCCTCGTATGGCAACGTGGTTGAACATCAGATAATGGTGGATCACAGCACTGGGCGTTCAAGAGGTTTTGGTTTTGTCACTTTTGAAAGTGAGGATTCTGTTGAAAGGGTCATATCTGAGGGAAGAATGCGTGATCTTGGTGGGAAGCAGGTCTGTATTTTCTCCCATTTCCAAATCTTTTTATTCAGTAGTTCTTCCTGAGCTCCATTATCTTAATACTCCCTCCGTTCCATAAACGACAAGAATTATGGAATGGTGGGAGTAGCAAATATGTATGGTAGGGATAGTAGAGATAAACGAGCATGAGGATTTCTGCACCCATCTGATTGTGCTCCAAAGTGGTCTAAAAGCTTCTGATTGTGTTTCATCTTCTTGTGGTTATTTCTGCCACTGTATTGCACATGTCCTTTTTGTATTTAGACATTTTTATGCATTGCTGGTATTTTCTTGCCGTGCCAGATGGATTGGAAACTTTTATCTCAGATGCATCTACTTGCTGATAGAAGATTATTTGTTTTACCCTCAAATTAAGCTGCTAGCTTGATATGCTTTTAGTTGACAATCAGAGTAATTTTCTTCGCAGGTTGAAATAAAGAAGGCTGAACCAAAGAAACATGGAGGTGATCACAGTAGCAATGGGAGATCTAGTCACTCTGGTGGTGGTGGTTACCGTAGTTCTTACCGTAGTGGTGGAGCTGCTGCTAGTGGTGGCAGTAGCAGCGGCGGCGGCGGCGGTGGTGGCTATGGCTATGGTGCTGGTCATCGATCTGCTGCTGCAGGAAGTTATTATGATAGCACGGGATATGGTTATGGTAGAGGAGGCTATGGCGCCGCCGCCGCTGCTGCCGCCTATGGAGGCAATGCTGGATATGGATCTGGTTTTGGTGGTGGCTATGGTGGCTCTATGTACGGTGGTGCTTATGGTGCATACGGAGCATATGGAGGCGGTGCCTATGGTGTGGGTGCTTACGGAGGCGGTGCCTATGGTGCGGGTGCTTACGGTGGCGGCGCCTATGGTGGCGGCGCTCCTGGTGGCTACGGTGCTGGTGGATATGGTAGTTATGGGGGAGCAGGAGCAGGAGCAGGGGCGGGGGGTGCTGCAGGTGGTGGTGGGAGTGCAGGTGGTCGGGGCTCTAGCAGGTACCATCCCTATGGGAAATGAGTGTAAACCCCTGTGGTTTTTTCTAGGATGCAATAAGCGCACTCATCTCCATGGGATCTCCTAGAAGTTGGGCATTCATCTTGAGTTACCTAATCAGAGGCATCAGAACATTTTTGGTTTTGTTGAATTAAAGTCGTAACCGGGGACAAGTGTAATCTTTGTTGCTGAGCCTGCCCGTAGTTTGGTGTAGCGGCTACAGATTAAAGCTGTGTTGTATTCTTTAGTTTCTATATGCAGAGCGTTAGGAGACCCTGAAAACAAAGCCTTTCGTGTTAGGAACAGTATTGGTTTGATAGAACTATATTTGTGCTGTAAGAGATCGTCTTTGCAAGCAGCTAGCTGTTGCCATCTGAGCTTATATGCAGGGAAGCCTTTAAATTGTTTGGTTTATGCTTCTGGCGGGCTGTTTGATGCATTTTGATGTGGTAGGTTATGTATATAGTCATTGCTAATCTTCGGAACCCAGGAATGCGTTCTGGGTGTAAAGGAAAATGATTTTATGACTTGTGGCACTGATAATGTTTGCAAATTTGATTATCGTTGATATATCGTCTGGTAACATTTGCCCCTGTTCTGTCGACTTGTTTTCACTCTGAAAAAGCATTTCCAACGGCCAACTCAAAATGTCCTGTTTATTTTTTACAATGGCATTTGATGGTGCCATGAGCCGTGTTGTGTTTTTGGCAATTGGTTCTCTAAGGCCTTGTATAATGGGAGATGTTTAGTGGAGGTGCTTAGAGAAATAAATCAAGCTTTTTTTAAGCATCAGTGTTTATTTATACAGGAGAGACGGTTAACTAAGCGTCTCTCATGTAGAAATATGCACCGGTGCTTCAGAAAAATCCGGTTTATTTTCTTAAGCATCCTTCTAAGCACCTCCCATTGTACAAAGCCTAAATGTTCTAGTCCAAGCATCTGTTGTGTCTTTGGCAATTGGTTCTCTAAGGTCTTGTATAATGGGAGATGCTTAGTGAAGGTACTTAGAGAAATAAATCAGGTTTTTTTTAAGCACCAGTGCTTATTTGTACAGGAGAGACGGTTAATTAAGCGTCTCTCATGTAGAAATAGGCACCGATGCTTCAGAAAAACCCGGTTTATTTTTCTAAGCATCTTTCTAAGCACCTTTCATTGTACAAAGCCTAAGTGTTCTAGTCCAAGCACCTGTTGTGTCTTTGGCAGTTGGTTCTCTAAGGCCTTGTACAATGGGAGATGCTTAGTGAAGGTGTTTAAAGAAATAAATCAGGCTTTCTTTAAGCACCAGTGCTTATTTATACAGGTGCTTATTTGTACAGGATAGACGGTTAACTAAGCGTCTCTCATGTAGAAATAAGCACTGGTGCTTTAGAAAAATCCGGTTTATTTTTCTAAGCATCTCTCTAAGCACCTTCCATTGTACAAAGCCTAAGTGTTCTAGTCCAAGCACCTGTTGTGTATTTGGCAATTGGTTCTCTAAGACCTTGTACAATGGGAGATGCTTAGTGGAGGTGCTTAGAGAAATAAATCAGGCTTTCTTTAAGCACCAGTGCTTATTTGTACAGGATAGACGGTTAACTAAGTGTCTCTCATGTAGAAATAGGCACCGGTGCTTAAGAAAAACCCGATTTATTTTTTAAGCATTTCTCTAAGCACCTCCCATTGTACAAAGCCTAAGTGTTCTACTCCAAGCACCTGTTGGTAGTCTCCGTTTCGGATTTTTTTATCCACCTCCCACTTTCGTTGGTTTTTTTAGTTTTTTTTGTCTCCTTCCTCACTTCATCGGTTTATTTTCGCGTCAACAAAAGAAATTTGAACGGATCAAAACTATCCATGCTGGCACAAATTATTTAATATTGTAGAATCAATCATGATCAGTCTCTAAAGATCAAATTCAAATTGATTAACCTTACGTTAAATCGCTCAATCAAATTAATTAGAAAACAAATAATTAATTTTAAGAAAAATCGCTCAATCACATTAATTAAAAAAATAATCAATTTAAAAAAAATCTCTACTCTCAACGAAGGAGTTGGTAGTCTCCGTTCACGGTCTTTTTTCATCAAGCTTTTTTTTCGTCTGGTTTTTTCCCGTCTTACCTCCCACTACCAACACCACCCCTCCACACCTCCTCACCACGTCCCCACACACATACGTAACACATAAACCGGTGGAGAGAAAACCAAACAGACCCAATGAAACCTAAGCATGTCCTCCCCCACCGCACCCCTATCCTCGCCTCTTTCCTTCCCTGCCTGCTGCCCTCCCTACGGCAGCTCCTCTGCTTCGGCCCGGCCCTCCATGTATGTGCCGCCGCGCCCCCACTCACCCCCGTCGTCGCGGCCACAGGGCCTCGCCTCGCCCGCCCCGCCCAATGCCGACGCTGATTCCGGCACCACGCACCCACGGCATGACGCCACGCCTCGCTCGCCTTCGTCGAGGCCGTGCGATGCAGCCCAAGCACGGTGTGTCTCGGCCTTGGCCAACGCGCTCGGCCATGACTAGCAGCGACTCATGAAGCGCTTGGGCACATGGGCTGCGGTCAAGCGGCGGTAGCGTCGCAGGGGCCATGTGGAAGCCGGGATGAGGACGGACACTTCCAGATCAGGTGCTCGCACCTGATCTTGATTTCTGTGGTCGTGGCGGTTGAAGATTGAGCATTGGACGGATGCATCTAGATCAGGTGCGAGCCGACCATGGCCTCATGTTCTTCTCTTGATTTGTGTTGCCATGGTGACGTACATGTCTAATATCTTGTCATTGCTCTACTCAGACCTGTCCTATATGGCCGAGCAAGATCGAGGACGACTGCCGATAATGTTCTCCTCGTGTGCAAGCTCCGCACTGCACTGAAGCATCCGACACATGGTGAGATATCTTTTGAGCGTTTAAAAAAAGTGCATTATCCTTTCTCATCCAACAATTTTTTTCCCCGCTGATTTGTGACCTCCTAATGAACATGAAGATTCATATGCTACCTAGAACACATTCTATACTTGGAAGCAATATTTTCTGATATACTATCTGATGAAATTTTATTTTCGGAGATGTTCATTCATGGTTTTGATGACCTCTTGATTCATGTCATTAGTAGTTATTTTGACAAAACAAAGATGGTTTTCGGCACTTTTTAGATAGGCAATATTCCTACCGGAAGACTTGGGCAATATACAACATGTTCTGTGGGCTTGAAGCAAATATATAACATGATATGTCACATACTTTCTTGCTGAGTTACAAGAATAGTTGCGGATGCCATCCAATTTGTTACATAGATTTCTATTTATTTATTTTGCACTGATATTTTTGTAGTGTGATGATATAAAGAAGAAGGAATGTACATTTTAGGGGGTTTGCTACGTGTTACATATATCTTACTCACTAACAGTTAGTCAGCATATATTCCAGTAATGAGAAATGGCACAATCATCTCGTGCCATTTCGTGGAAGCAGTAGAAGTAACATCTATGCTATGAAGTAGAACACTAATCAGTTCAATAAACATGCACTCATATACGAGTGAACAATAGCATGATATAACTCAAGTTCATGGTAGGTAAACCTTCTGCCTTATGTACGTGCATATCCCTTTTAACATTGGTATCACATGTTGTATTCTATGTCAACAATCCATGTTGATGTTAATAGTTTTGAGAGCTAGTTTGAGCCAATCAAGCATATTTTTAAATATTTCAAGCTCAGTTGGAGCCCAATGTTATTTTTGGAGCACGAGGAAGTGGAGGTCGCGAATGGCCGCCCCATTTGGTGGGTGTGGGATGTGTGCCAAGCCTTGTAGCGGAGCTGCCGCACAGTTTTTTGCGGGACAAGTGAGGGAGACGAGACAAGCGAAGACGAGGAGAGGTGGCAAGCCCCACGGTGGCAGAGACGATGGGGTGTGATCCACTCGTGCTAGCTGTTGTTGCTGAGCTAACTTTGTTGTTAGTGTTACAGAGTGGCTACTGATTGCGGATGGTTTTGTTGTTGGTAGAAATGAGAGAGGAGGGACAGATGAGGGTTGCGGCTACTGAGCAGGCTGCTGGTTCAGTTGGATTGAGAGTAATTTTGAGACTGAGAATGAAAAGAGAATGGGAAAGACAGGGATAGGGAGAGATTGAGAGTGAATTGTTCTGTTGCGCATCCTGCTTTTGAGAGAGCGAATTGAGAGGGGGGAGGGTACGAAGGAGATACAGCTAAAAAATACCTCTGTCATATCACTGTGTCATCCATCATATCTATATTGACCCTTACCGTTCAGATGATTGTTGATTATGATATATAATGATAAAAAGCAAACGCCTGTATACTCAATTTATCCATTCAAGGACAGGTTTAAGACATGAAGACTGCCTGTTTACAAAGATAATAAAATTCAGATGGTGCTGCAGTTCATGTTTAAATTGGATGAGTATGTGAAGATTAGTGACATTTTCTTACGAGCACCTGCAATGTTTGCATAAAATGTTTTCTTAGGGCTGGTCGATTCTTTTGATTGTTGCTACCATAGTGCAGATGTCTATCACCACAAATTGCCATATGTTTTTCAACGGTACATGAGCTGTGAGTTGCCCTATTATTTTAAGAGTTCATAAGATGGGTTGATTGTGAGACTCTAAATACATGATGCATTGTCTTCCAAAATTTATATTACTATCCATCGAAGTGTTCTTATACGTTAGTATCTTAACATAAATATTTTTGTGATTAAAAATTGCAGCTTATTCCTTTTAATGATCTGAGAAATATATTTGGATCAGGGAAGCATGAAGCACAAGCAATCATCTCAGATATCGAATCTCAAGCATACAGAAATAGGCTTGCAAAATTCTTTAGTACTGATTTAGTTGTTGCTCCTAACAAAGCCTCCAAAATCTCTGCGAAGAGTTATAGTATGATCCTGAACTTGCGAGCAAGATGCATAAAGGTACCACCCTGACACCTGTTTTTATTCCATCATTAGTTTTACAGCATAGTTTTATATTAGCTAGAAATTTAGTCCTGCTCCTGCTAGCAAGATGTGTACCGTATAA